TTCATTAAATTTTTAGCGTGAATACACTCTTTCGCCCCCATGTCACACTTCAATTTGTGTATAAGGTTTAGGCTGTTTGTTCGATAACCTCTCAAATACAGATTAAAGTTGTGTTGTCCATTGTTAGGCTTTCTCGTTTGGGGGTTTTCATCATCGCAAATGTTCCTCGATCCACTACTGTCATAAACAGCATAATATTATATTATATGTGCCTCCCTTTCGATGCTCTCTCTCTCTCTCTCTCTCTCTCTCTCTCTATCTCTCTCTCTCTCTCTCTCTCTCTCTCTCTCTCTCTCTCTCTCTCTCTCTCTCGCCAAGTCGGTACTTTCTGTTACTAGTATATTGAAATTTTTTGCATTATGTCAATATTGGTTCTAGTTTCTATTTGGTTAATGCAAGTTTGAATAATTTCAAGACAGGTTCAATTTATCCAAAACAAAGGTTAAATCTATCATAAATAATTAAATATATTATACTACCTCCGATCCTAATTATAAAAGCTAGTTGACTAATTTGAAAAGATTAAAAAATAAGTTAGGTTAGTTATTTATGATAAATAAGTGTTGTCTTTCCTAAAATATCATTGCTAATCAAGTATATTGGCTAGAACTATGATTATTAGAAAGACTACCGTGAAAAAAAATGTATAAATATGAGAGACAAAGTGGACTGATGTTTTATATTTAAGACCAAAATAAAAATCAAATAAGATCTTATATTGAGGACCGGAGGTAGTACATCAAATATATTTTGTAAATAAAATTCTCATTATGACATATAATTTAAAAAATAAGCCGCATTATATATATATATATGTTTATGGTTCATGACAATAAAATTTGTTAAATTCTTTTATAATATGTACAAGGTTTGCATCAAATTGTGTGTATACATATTATTAAAAAAATATTGTCTCAATACTTTCATCTAAACTTATGGAATTGAGGATGAAAATTTCTGTGTAAAGGGTTTCAAATGCACTAATGAATATGATCAAAGTTTTCAAGCCGCCAAAGATATGTAGAGAGTTCAGGAAGAGCATGCTCTTTAGAGGATCGCCTATTTGACACTAACCTGAAAATCTGAACTTGGAAGTAGTTATTGGCCTTGGTCAAACTTATGTAACGGAGCAAATATATACTTTTTTTTCTCACATAAACAGATTTATTTTAAAATTTTGTAACTTGAATTCTAGAAAGATAAATTATTATTATTTTTGCCACAAAAAATAAATTACTATTAAGTAGTAAGAGAATAACCTCTACTGAATTCATTTGTTTAAATGGCCCATGAATTGAACCCAAAATATTTTTTTTTGGGCTAAAACATAGATATCTTTCTATTGGAGGCAATCCTATTTGAGACACTATCGGGTACTAAACGTGAGCACCTCTCCCAGCGGGAATTCGAACCTTAGTTCACCATGTTGTGAGGGACTAATCTCTTTCGCTAGACTCAACTCCTGTTGGTAAAATGTTTTTGTTTTTTTTTCCCTATTGGTAAAATGTTTTTTTTTTTTGAGTGATACAATTGAACCCAAAATGTTAAAATCCAGAACGGACTATTGTAAGTTCACAATCGGAGAAAACGGTCCATGACCCGAGCCCGTCTAAGAATCAAATATATCCATCGGCATCTCTCGTCCACAGTGCCCGAATCTATGACGAATCGACTGTAGCAACATGTGGATTGGTATTAAAAAAATACTTATATCCACTTGCTTATATTCATTTATGTTAAGTTTTTTTATCATAAATTTATATAAAATAAAAAAGAACACAAAATAAAGAACTTGATAAATTCACCTAAGTTTTTGATATTTACCATTTTGGACCAACATATATTGATTATTTATCTCAGTAATCACTATAAAATCCCTCGGTTCAGGCTGCACACAGGGTGTCTCTGATTTGATTTCTCTCATCTGCGTCAACTTGTAAGAGCTTCCACCCGAAATCGAAACTAGTGAAAGGTGGCCAAGGAGAGAGAGTCAGGCATGCTTCGAAAGCTTCGAAGACTTTCTTCTCTGTTCTTTTTGCTTTCGCTTATTGCTTCTTTACTCTATGTTCTCAGTTGAACTTTATTTACATTGACGTACAATCTGTCAGCATTCTCTGGTTCTTGACCAAGAGTCTCTGCATTTTTCTTAGCAGTATTTGTAATAACCGGAAACATTTTTTTTCCTGCATTCGTCAACCCTACGAATTTGTCGGGCCCTCACAAACTATTCCAGGGTAACGACTGTTCGTGATGTGATTGTTTAGTTTGGAGATGAGAAGCTGTGATTTATTTTTATTTTCGGCGTCATGACTGAAAAACATATTTTCACCTGTTGAATTTGCCTAGTTATGGATGTTGTAGATCCTTTGATATATTTGCTTGAAAAGCTATGAAAACGTAAATAAATTATAGAAAATTTCCATTTGTTTGTAATTTGCAATTCACACAAATTCAATAGCAAGTAAATAAATATGTTTAAATAAAGTAATAAGGATCAATGGATAGATTTTTAAGCTAAGTATTAACTCATCAAATTATGGCCATGTTAATTGAATTTCAGAAGTCTGTGCGTTAATCATATACTCCTCTGCTCCTTAATATAGGACCCAATTCTTGAGTTGGTTTTGATCCTAAATATAAGACCCATTTATCATATTTATTAATTTTTTCTAAATTACCCCTATAGATACTCCTTCAACTATAATCAAGTCGAAGAGAGAGAGGGGTATTAAAAAAGATGATTATGATATTTTAGGAAAAATGTGTCACTTTTCTTATAATTAACTAACTTACCTAACTTCCTTAATCTAATCAAATTAGTTAAATGGGTCTTATATTAAGGACCGGAGGAGTACATCGTTAATATGGATAGACACTCTAGGAATATAAGGTTGTTCTCACATAAGTGATCAAGTGCTAAATTTTCAATTTTTCATATCTATTTAGGACAATTGGTCCTAAATTTTCAATTTATGATCTTGGATTTCGGTTTTGATCTAGGCATTTGGTGGAAGGTTCGAAATCATAATGGCAAAACAAGAGCTTTCCAGCACGCTCAAGAACTCGAAGGTAAAACAGGAATCAAACATGGTCCCCCATTTTCCTTTAATGGACTGTTCAAATTAGATTTTGGTGAGTTTAAAATGTCTGAGGCTTGGCCTTATTATTGCTTGGTTCCAAATTCCATATTTGTGATATTTCCACAACTCAATATGGTTATAATATTTCTTCTTTCAATAGTTCATGCAAAGAGCAGCTCTAAGAAAGGAGAAATCCGAGGAAGTGGAGGATGAATTGAAACCTGATGTCAATATTTTTGGAACTCCCACAATAATTAGAAAATGGTAATCTTCTTTGTTCTTTTCATCCTTCTTGGTACTAATTTGGATATCCGCCTTGACATAGACAGTCTGGGTGTGCTGATATGTTACCTAAGTTTTGAAATAATTTTCACCCAAAAGTTCTTTGTCAGATTATGACTAGTGTAATGGCTACTAGCTGACTACATTTATTGTCAGGTAGGGCTTGTTTTATCACAAATTAGGACTCATCATGGCTTAGTATGGTTCCACGTCTTAAATCTACTCTTTTTATCGATAAAGATCAATCTTGTTGATAGATTTGTCTAGATTCCATGATCGTCCTCGAATCTACTTCTGGTGAGTAGCGTTAAGAAATTCCTTAGCTTGAAATCCTACAAGTTATCATTAGTGACACCCCGTCTAATGCCATTTTACCTATAACTCCTTTTAAAGAGAACAATATAAACCCTTTCTATACCAAGTTTTGTTTTCACAACTTAATTCTATAATTGCCTCTGAATTATTCTTTTTAGGTGCAAGTAGCATCGTCATAATGGAAAGTGATCCCCATCCAGGAACAATTAAAGGTCGGATGTCATTTCAAAGTTTTAATCCATGAATTGATGTGAGCATTACGATCAAGAATTTAAAAGTTTCCCTACTTAATGTTTACTTGTTATTCATTCGTCTCAATTTCTTATGGCAAATTCTTGCCTATATACAGACTCAACAAAGAAGACGCAAGGCTCCATCAGCCAGCAGCTCAAGCATCAAGTTCTAGGAATCAAAGTGGAAATATTTCTGTTAGGTGTTTATTCGTTTCCCTTAGTACTTAATTGACGTAATTCTTTTATGGTGTTTTGTTTTGCAGGTGTGGTCTGCCTCCCAACCCCATCTCTAAAACAAAACAAAAAAAAAAGGATTTGACGATTCTCCATCAATGATTTTAATTTTGATCCCAAAATCCAGATAAATATTACGTCTCTGGATTTAACCCTGGTTAGCTGACGCATTATTTTACATTTGGATTCAGAGAAAACAGACTTCCAGTAGGTGGCTCAAATTGTGCAAACACTATCAATGAGATTAGTGGCGACCTCCAAAAGGAAACAGTCTGAAGTAATGTCTGAAGCACAAATTCCAACTAAATCGCCCAAGAACGATAAAGGCGATGATCAATCATTGCCACGAAACAGTTTGCGGTCTTTCAGAAAACCAAAGAGAGATAAGTTAGACTGGAATGTTCTTAGATCACCCACATGCTAAAATCAGAATAGGGTGAGGATACTGATGGTTAAGCTAGCTAATCATTAATCTAGATTCAGTTCTCCTTTGTTCCACCACATCGAGTTTTGTATCTCTAATATTAATTTCACTACGTGATTTTTTTCCTAATCATTACTTCTTATTCAATTTGTAAGATTTGATCATTTTCCATGCATTGAAAATGATACTCAACCAAAATCAAGTCAATACTACTAACATCAAAAGCAAACTGCGGACATCAATATCCAAATTCAACAAAGAAAAACACACAAATTCTACTATAACGTCTTTGAAGCTGAAAAAAAAATACAAATGAAACAAAAGAAAATAAAGCACTTCAAACCCAATTAACCAGCAACATTATTAGACAATCCCACAGCTATTATTAGTACGACACAAATCGAAACCAACATCAGTCATTCCAGTGCTTCTTCATGCCTTAACATCACTTCCAAGAGACAAGTTACGCAGAGTTGTAGCAAGTCCGCCCGCCCTACAAGATACAAATCATTGTCAAACTTCACAGCAAATGAAAATGTAGCCTCCAAAAGACCAAAACCCTCAACTCAGCTGAGGCGAAAACAACAGAACCAAAAAGAGTGATAGTGCCAATGAGATAAGCAAACATCAAAATAATAGAATAATTGAAGACAAATTTTTCAGAACAAGCCTCGGGAGCAAAAATATTTAATTTTTTTTTGGAATTGAAAAACATATATATAATGGTAAAATGAAGAGTGAAACAATAGTTTGCTTTGATTAGCACAATTTTTATTTTCTTTTGAGAAAAAATACATTTTATTAATACAAAACATTAAAATATCATTTACGCACACTAACAGTCAAAGCCGAAAAAAACCAAAAAGCAAATACTAACATAATATTCTAATACACGAAAACTAACCAAAAAAAAAAGCACTCACAAAAATACTAACAAGCATAATTGTTATTCATGAAACTACAATGGAATCTACCCGTCCTAATTTGTAGAACAAAAAGTAATACAAAATGAAAATATGTTCTGATTTTTTTTGAAATAAATTTAGCTTTTTTCTTTCCGAACACATAACTGAAAGCACATTTTTAAACATGCTTTTTCATTTCCAAAAAAAAATCTATTTTGAAAATTGAAAAAAAAAAAGAGCCTATATGTTTAAAATGTGATAAATATAAAATGGATAAGAAGATTAATGACTCCTTTAAATTCCAACAACCACAAAAAAACACTCAAATATGTAAATGTAAAATATAATCCCAACAAGAAGGTATTAGCTCAGCCGTCAACAACTAGAGACGGTTGTCTTTTTCGATTAGTTACCCACCGGTTTGCAGATGACGTTATTGGTAGATTTGACGAACTCTCCCCGTCTCGTGGCAAGGCCTTCAAAACCATAATGCATTAAAATGATATCAGATACTTTGGCTACTTGATTGACGCCAATCATTTTATACATCTGAAATCCTATCATATAATACAGAAAGAATTTTTGAAAAAATCGAAAAGAGAGGAGCGTCACATTACTTGGAGCACTTCCATGCTTTCAAATTAAAGCCCTCTCCCAATTAGTGGGAGGACTCTTCATATAAAAAGCGTTGCAATATAGAATCTATATGAAGGGGAAGACGAGAGCAGAAGCTCTTACATACCTGTTTAACTTTAACAATGTCTTGAAACATCTCCCTGGCTTTAGTAGGGGATAAACCACGAACTCCAACTTGAGGCGGAGGCTTACAATTAATCAAAGCCCTCACCCAATCAATGCGAGCCTCGTTGGTCCCTAGCAATTTTGTAAGGGTAATTTCTGAAAAGGGGAAGTTGCATTTGAAAGTTAAGTTTTTCAAAGAAGCAACCTGTGATATAATATTTTTAGCATCCTCACACCATCGCTCTAGGGATGTCACTTCAACGGTCAATTCTTCTAATCCGTGAAGCTTTGAAAGTCCAAGACAATTACTGCTTTCAATGTATGAGATTCTCAGGCACCGCAAACTGTTCAAGGGTGGCACAAAATCTACCTTGGTATCTCGAATGTCAAATACCTCAAGATGTTTAAGTGGTTTGATCTGATTTGGAAATATTTTTAAGCCTGAACAACGATTTATATAGAACACCTTAAGATTGGTTAACCCTGACAAAGATGGCAACTCACTTATTTTAGTACGATACAAGTTTAACACAAGAAGACTGCCCATGCTCTGAAAAACATTTAATGGGATTTGAACCAATTCCAGATTCTTTTGTAGCAACAGTGTCTGAAGACTCCTATAACTTTGGTTTGCGGGTAGACTATCCCTTTTACTGCCAATCATAGAAACCCATTTGGCATCCTGCCGTGATGCTGATCCAGAGGTCTCCCTATGTTCCCCATTATCAACGTACATTTTAGATTCCGAATCTGAATAATTGAATGATATACGCAAGGCAAGTTGCCTATAGATATCATTCATTTTTACATACCTCATTTGTTCCCCTTCCTCCAAAAATGCCGCTTTAACAAGCTGCTTCAATTTTTTAATACCTTGGCCGCGAATTTCACTGTACTTAGTATCCGCAACAACATCACTAAGAAAGCCCTGAGCTATACAACACTCCAAAAAGTAATTTGTGCTTATCTTACTGTTTGCAGGATATAGTGAAGCATAAAGAAAGCATTTTTGTGCACTAGGATCACCCAACTGTTGATAGCAAATTTGCAAGATTGAGTATAACTCTTCTAAACCATCAACTTCAATTTGAGGCCAAGGCGTGCATTCTTTCAAAACCCTCTCCCAATCAGGGGGAGACTCCTGATATACAAAAGACTTTGCTATAGGAGCTATGAGGAGGGGAAGACAACAACAGAACCTATCACATAGCTGTTCAGCGTGTGGTGGTAAAGCCTCCCCATAAATGTTTTGAAACATAGCTTGTGCTTCTTCAGGGGGCAACCTTTCGAGAACGACTTTACTGTCAACATGTTTTGAACTCAAAGCAAGAGGAAAATAAGTGGTTATTACCATCTTACCACTTTTTTTGTGTGCTGAAATATCCAACTTTTCCCAAATCCCATCAGGTGGGCTCCTTACACCATCTAAAATTAACAAATATCTTTTGTCCTCAAGCACACTCTGTATGTTTTGAGCAACTGTACCTTCGTCAACTTCATGTTTGTCATCTTCTTTATTCACCTTTATTCGATCTGTAATTTTCTGCAGAATGTGAAGGTCTCCAGTCTTCTTATCAGATGGCAATTTGATGAAAATCACAATATCAAACACTTTGTTATCGTTATCATAAAAGTGGTTATTTATGTTTTGTATTATTGTTGTTTTCCCCACCCCTTTTTGTCCATGAAGTGCCACGCATTTTACTCCATCATTTTGTAGCAGCGTCAGAATCTTTTGGAAGGCATTCTGAAGAGTCGAATACTCAGCAATTGATGAAACACCAGGCTCCTTAATGACCCGCTTTGGCCCCTTAGCAAAAATCTCATTTGGACATTTGTCAAGAATTTCGATTACGTCTTTGAGTGCCGTTTTGATCTTCTCTCCGAGATATGCACAACTGAGATATCTCAGCTTCTTTTTCCTCACTTTATCATATTCTTGATTCAAGGAAGCCACGCGTTTCTCAACATGTGATACGTGCTCCGTCCAGTGCTGATAAACTTTAGACGTGTCTTTCTATATATTGGTCGAAACTTCATCGTCTTTGTCCGCTTTTAAAGCAAGCAGCCACCCCAATACATCATTTAGCGCTTTATGCCTCCCAGCAAGCGAAGCGTCTTCAAGTTTGGACTTTAATTGTTGTAGCCCAAAATTCACAGCAGGTGCCCCACTGTAGTTGCAAACGCGGTAATTAACGCGCCTTCTGCGACCACAGTCATTGAGGAACCTCAAAAACCTGGGGGGAAACAGTTCAGGAAATGTTAGCTGAGACTATTATATATTAATGAAACAATTTTGATAGCTAGAATCACTCATTTTAAAATGCTTTAAAACTATCTTGTTAAGACATCAATCGTGCATCTTTTATTAGCTGACTGCTTGAATCATCACCTTGTTCACGTTTTATCCTACAAATGTGTTCGAATCTTAACTTACTAGGTATTATTATTGTTTCTTAAAAGTGATTCAACACGCAATAATCACACCTTTTTGTTTGAAGCAAGTTGCCTGATTGAATTTATTTTGGTGGAGTTAATGTTTCTTCAGGCAAAACAATATTATTTGCTCAATTTAAAAAAAGAGTAAAATATACTGAAACAACGTTCCTATTTTATCTAAATTACAAAACATTTTATCTATTTTGAAAACATATATGAATCTCTTTTGAAATTAAAATGTAGGATAGCCAAATCTCACTTATATAATTAAAATCCATTTTCATTCACCTAAGCTGACGTTAAATTTAACTTTTTAACATTGTCTTGACCAAAATACCCCTCTCACTTAAACATTTCCAAATATAATTTTTATACAACATAGAAATGATTCTAATAATATACTTTCAAACTTTCTAATATGTTATAAAATTTATTAATTTTATGTATATTATAAAATTTTTATAATTTTAATTTTTCTTCACATTTGTTGAAATTTACTTCTTTAGGTTCTTTTTAAATGGTTAAAACATATTTCAAATGTGCATTTTTTTATCATATAGTATAAATGATATAAGTTTGAGAGATCATATAATCATATAAATTTTTAAATACATTTTTGCTCTATTTATGAACATATTTAGTCAAATATATATTTTTAATCAAAATTTTATATCTAAGTGAATTAAATTACTCAAACTTTTATCCCAATATGATTAAAATAAATAAATAACTATTTCGAAAAAAAAAATTAAAGAAAAAAAAAGGATCTTAAATTCGTCAAAATAGTTTTAGCCAAAATTAGGGATCTAATATGATTAAAAGGTAGATTAGTAAATAAATTTATTCAAATATTTTTTAAAATATTATTAATGGAGTTAACAATTTGGAATTAAGTATATGGTTTTAAAATAGAGGAGAGGTCATGTAATTAAGGCAAAATGTAAGAGGGATTAGAGTATTTTACTCTTAAAAAATATTTGTACGAAATAACTATAATTATAATATCAAATGAAATAATAGTTTGTTTGTTTGTTTGGAATTATTAAACTTGATCATGACATAGAATGTCTGTATTCTAACCTGATATGCTTGAGGAAAGATTGTCTCCTTAAGTCTCAAGATCTGACCTCCCTAAATGAATAACAAGCTGCAACAAATATGCACTTCATAAGTAACACAATTTGAACTCATGAGAAAACTTGAATTATTCGAAGAGTCAACACATGATGATGCGTGATTGGAAAAATTGACATAAGAGATATGAGAAAGCTGACCTAAGTATTTTTCATAATCTCCAAATTAACTCATTTGAATATATTTTAATTTATAATATAAGTATATTTTGTAATATAAGTATAATCATGATATCTTCTACTCCTTATTTGATAGCTTTCTCAAGTATTCCTCTTCTCAATAAGACACTCAAGTAAAGTTGCTTTAACTGGTTTCTTTTCCCAAGCATCTACTTGAATAAAAACTTTATTAGTCTGATTTCTTTGAGCTTTCTTCTACATCTTTTTGAGTATATGAGCGAGTAAACATCTACCTGAGTAACCACTCACTCGAGTATTATCTTTTTCTTCAGCTTCTTACTCTACTTGAGTAAGCTTATCAATTTCTTAACTATCAAATTTCAATTATTGCTTCTTATCAAAAGGACTCAATATACCTCAAGCTATTCTTGTTCCATTATGTAATGAGTTTATGAAGCACTAATAACATGATTGAAGTAAGATTATCACAAGTTTAAGGACGCAATGGAAAAATGATGTTGTTTAGCACTTTATCAGAAGCATGGAATGCAACTCAATGGATACAAGCTACCAACCTAGTAGTTCTATTTCCAATGAAAACAAAGCTTTGAGTATGATGGATACTTATTGAAGGTTAACAAACTTGAGTTACCACTCTATTGCATTAATATTCATATTCATTGCTTTACGAAGTTGTGGCCAAGGCACATATTGTGTTTTCCGACTTGTGCTTTTTGGCGGCTATCTGGCATTGGGTATATTGGGATCTAGAAATCTTTTATGATGAATGTACAAGAAAACCTTTTTTGGATTTGCCTAAAATTTTTGGAAAGTGTATTTTTAGAAAGAGCTTGTTAAATCTTAGAAACCTAGTGGAAACTTTTATGCGATCTGAGAGCCGGGTGGACCAAACTAGTATAATCTTGTTGTGCACTATTTAGCATTTTATTTATCCTTCAGTGATATCCATCTAACCTTTTCCTCACTAAAAAAAAAAAAAGACATTTGGTGACGATTTGCGACAACTCTAAAGAATCGTCGGCAACAATAAAGTCATCACTAAAGTATGACTTTCAACAATTGCTGCGAAAAGTCCCACTTTGCCGTTGAAAGTTGTCACTTTTAGTGGCAACTCTTTAGAATTCTAACTTTTAGTGACGACTATTAAATGCAGGGTTGCTCACCGAACAGGATGGGATCAAGACAAGCTCATTCCGGTCCCACTTCAATAAACAGGGACAGGATAGAAAATCTGTCCTGTGTCTCATCTCATCTTGGTGCTATCCCTGTTCCGGTCAGGACACGATTAGACCAGGACATCCTGTTTAGCTTTTTTTTTTTTGGCCTTCTAGTTGGACTATTGTAATGGATTTTTGTTTTTTTTTCTAGTTTTAGTTCTTTGGGCTTAGCCCTTCTAAAAGCATTTTTTTTGTTTTCTTTCCTATTTTATTGGGCTTAGCCACTTTAAATAAAAAGTCCAAATAAATAATAACCGATACATAATAACTCTAAAATTTATTTTTATCATTCCAAAAATCATAAGCAAATATAAAAACTCTAAATAAATAATAAACATTTAACTACGAATGTGCTAAAAACTAGAAATATAAACATTTTGTATTACACACGCCTTAAACATTTTGTTAACATTTAATAATTATAATAAAATAAAAAATAAAAAAATTACTACCGGACTGGACAAACCCGTCTTATGTCCCGTCATTATCCTATTTTTTGTCTCGTCCCAGTTTATCCCGTATCAATTGCCGGGACTGGGACAGGACCCTTAGCTAAATGTGTGACTTTCAGTAGCAACTATAATTGTTGCCGATAAAAATCACATTTTTAACGGTGACTTTTTTGTGTTGCCACTGAAAGCCGAACTTTCTGGAAAAGGGTCCTTGATTTCATCCTTGATCCCAAGCGCAAGAAAAATAAATCATTAATTGTTTCAAAAATTCAAAAAAAAAACCTTGTGATAATTGGGAACCAGTTAATACAATTGAGGAAAACCCTTAATAAATATTTACTACCTTCTTTTCTTATACAAGAACTAATTATGTAAGACATCAATCTAACTTGTTTCTATTCCTATTGATTGTAAGAGGTTCCTACTAGAGGGTAGTTCCCATGCATACTGTTAAGAGGATAATTTAAAAAGCCAATATACATTTTTTACAAATAATTAATTAAACTAATTTTCTTGTTATCTCAAAATTATTTTGATGAATTTAATATTTTCCATTTTTTTAATTTTATTTTATTTTGAAAATAATTATTTATTTTTATCATAGTAGAATAGAAGTTCAACTAATTTAGTTAATGTAGGTAAAAAAAATTTAATCAAATTTCTGCTTAATTGTGATATATACTTGACAAGTTTGTTTATAAGTGTTTGTGGCAAACAAATGTACTTAAAAAATTCAAATTATAAATTTAAATGATTTATGTAATCTCTAAAACAATCCAACTTATATCATTCATGCGATGCGATAAAAAAAATGTGTTTGGAATATGTTTTTAGGCATTTAAGAGAAACCTAAAGAAATAAGTTTAGATGAAAAATTATGTAGAATGGGGGCGGATGGAAATGGATTCTCAATTATATAGAAAATTTGTATAACATACATTTTAATTTAATGAAGATTTTTAAAAAAATAGGTTGGAGATTTTTGTATAATTTAATATAGAATGGTGGTTAGTGTATGTTACTCTAAATTTTATAAATAGACTTATTAATCCTTTAAAAATATATTTCATGAATGTTTTAAAAAAATAAAATTTTCATTATTTTTTCTATGTTCGTGACTTATTATTTGTCCTTTTATGTATTTTATTCTTTTCATAATATGGAATAAAAAAATAGAGTAAAGTTTAATAATTTGGCCGTGGTTAGTTGGAAACGGCAGCTACACTTTAGGGTGATATTGATATCTTACAACTAAAAGGATATGTATGTTAAAGGGATCCCTCACTGATTCAAATCACGTACTCAGCAGCTAGCTCCAAGTAATCTCCTGAGTAAAAGCATCTACTTGACATTCATTTTTTGCTGCAAATTAAAACCCAGTATCAAGCTAGCATCAACATATAAACTAAAGCTCTTTCAACATCAAAATTATTAAACGCGAAAGAGAAATTAATTGAAAAGGAGTGATGGCTTACGCACACTGAGACGGCGAAGGTCCGATTCTTGATCCCCATGAAAGCTCTTGGAGGAGATCTATACTTCAAAGGAGACAGTCTAGTCAAATCAGAAGAAGCAATCACGTATATGAGTACTTTTGACTCAGATGAAATCAGAATAACGAAATTAGCTCATTTTGTTTGTGTGTTTGTCTATATACATATCTTTAAGAAGCAGAAATCACTTACCAGTAATCAAGAATTCCATTATTTTAGTCTTCTTTCCCTTCTTAGCTTTTTCTATCAGAAGCGGCTTCAAGTACTTGAACTTTCCTGAGCTGAAGTCATGAACTTGACATTTTTTTTCAACAACCGTTGCTCTGGTTGCAAGATTCAGAACTATGTCTATATATTGACTATTATAACAGCTCATAAGAGAAATTATGGAACAAGAATAAGTGATGGCTCATACTTACCCAGAACATGATGACCGACAGAGGATCCCAATATGTATAGGGAAAACAAAATGAAGCTGTGTGGAAATTCAAATATCAATTCTTCAAATAAATAAGTAAATGCTGTAATGTCATATGGATCATTGTGCGTTAAAGAAGAATAAAATCCCAAACTTAAATGCTGTTCCTTTTATAGTTCAGTCTTGTTAATTTTATCTTTTTCCTGATAAGCAGAATTAAGCATCAAAGTAAAAGTCTACTGAGTTAAGTCATGAACTTGACATTTTCTGCAAGAAGATAACCACTGCTTGACTGTAAGAATCAGAATATAAAGCTGCCTCAACGTCAAATAATTACCACAACTAAGAAGAGAAATTAATTAAAAATCAGAAAATGTAGTGATGAGACTTGTGCTTACCCAGAACATGAGCAGAAGAGAAGCTAGCTTGCTTTTTTCTCGAGACGGTCTGAGTGTTGATTCCGATGAAAGATTTCAATTTTTGGTGAAGGTCTGGATGAAGAAGCTTCAGAGGAGAGCCTCCTTAGGTGTGAGATGTGAAAATTGCTACCCAAGTGTTTCTTGTGCCGCGCCTTGGGTGTAAATTCACAATTCTCTAGCATGATGGAGGGGAAAAAAAGAAAAAAGAAAAAAGAAACAAATAAAATAAAAAAATAAAAGGAATGAAATAAAATTAAGATAAAACAAAGTATTTCACCACATGATTTCTAGCACAAATTAATTTTATTTTTAATTCTCGTAATTCTCTTAAAATTATCACCTTATGTGTGTGTATTATATACTAAAATTCATGTTTTTTTAGTAATTTTATATTTAAATTTATTTTTTATTAATCACAAGTTAATCTTATCAAACTGATTCTTTTTTAATAAAAAAATTTAAATATTAATTTATTTTTACCCTAATTTATATTTATAAAAATTAGATGAAATAAAAATTAATTTTATATCATTTTAAATATAATGCGCATTATCCGGCTCTCCCAAATTTTAAAAAAGAACCAACATTTCACACTGGAAGAGAATTATTAGCTGCGTGAATACTGATGTAAATTGAATTTATGAATTACGATGATCATCGAAAACAATCCCTACTATGAAAAAATTATGGGAACTTTCATTTAGCCTCCGGACTTTATTTCCACTTCCCTCGTGTGACTGTGAAATTTTACTTCCCTCGAAAGTAAAATTAATTCTTGAAACGAAAACTCCATGCGCCAGTTAATATTATTACTGTTAAAACTCGTAATGAAGTTGTTATAAGGTTTTATCTGCGTTTTTAAATTTTAGGATTTTTAATTATAATTTTCGCTAGTCTATTTGTCCACTGCAATAATTGAGATTCCCTCCCTCATTTGTCAAGTGTCATGATTCTGACTTGTTTTTCTTTTTAACCAAATAGATGCAAAAGAAATTACCCGTTCAATTATTTTTTTTATTTTTTTCTTGTTATCTATTTCTCTGATCTTATTTATAAAAATAAAGAGAAGTTTTTTTTTATCCTATATAAGTCATTTTATTAAATTTTTAGTATGAATGTATTATTTATCCTTCATTTATTATGGTATAGGTAGTTATTTTTTTGAAAAGTATATATATTAAATATGGGTAAAACTGAAAAGTTGTTATATTTTAACATAGAGTTAATGCATTTTAAGATTTTTCTTAGTCTGCATAAAATATATTAAAAGTGTTTTATAAATAGAATCAGAAGAGTAAATAGTTCCTATTTTCTTCAATTAAACTATTTTCCACAATCCAACCTATCATTTTTGCACAGATCGATGAGTTTAACCCATATTATCAGTTTTAGAGTTGGGGTTAAAATTGAAGGGTCCATTTAGAATAATTTATAAGAAATTTTTTAATAGTAATTTATAAAATATGAGACAAATACGCGAAAAGAATTTTGTTTCAATTTACATAAAACGTGTTTATAAGATATTTTTATCGTTATCCGAACGGACACCAAATGGGGTTGGGAAATCGTCCAGTTTAGTACGAAAGATTACAATATTACGGTCATGCAGCTTTAGTACGTAGGGGCTAGGGGGCCTGCTTCTCATTTTTCTCTGCATTACAGCTGTCTACCAATCATCGTCCTGACGATTGCCTTCCGTCTAGTAATTGTCAGCTCTGCCCCGCCTTCTCAACTTCCCACGTGAAATGTCATACTTCAGTAACGTGTGAGTTTATTTTGTTCTTAATAAGCACACCAGATATCTTTGATTTCATTAGCAAATGCTTCTGCTAATGAGAATTTATATTTTGATTGCGACATTGGGAGGAGTAATTAATTTTTTCATTAACTGCCATTAGTCATGCAAGTTCAGTTTTGCGATTTGAGCTTCATTGCAACATCAAACTGTTTTTTCTATTTTTTAATTTAAAAAAAAGTTCACCTTACATATATCCAATCTAAATTCAGTTTCTTGGTCCAGGCTCAAAATTTGGGGCGCTCTTAATGCGAAGTGAAACTTGTTAGATTTTGTTATCACTTTCATTTATTTGTCATTTACCGGTTTTTCATTAATTAAGAGACAAGGACATTATTTTAAAAATATTTTGTTTCAATGAAATCATAAAGTAATTATCTTTGCTTACAAGTAATTGTTTTGAAATTAGATAAAATAAAGAGTAAAACATATCAACCCCATTTTTATTTTTGAAAACTTATATAAACCTTCTTTAATATTTAACCTTTATCCACCCAATTATTAGTTGATCCTAGTATTATAGCATTGACTCATTATTTGATTAAAATGCCCCTCTTTAACATAAACATTACTTATAATTATTATGTAATCATACATGACATCTCTATCTGAAATTAAAAAAGAGTTAACACATATTTAATTTTTTTGGTTACGCCATTAAATTCATTACCATATTACAAAATTTAATTAATTTTAGAAAAAAATTGGACAGAAGGACCTAAAAAAAAATAATATTTATTAACAAAGATTTAAAAAATAGATTATTTAAAAGACTAAATATTAAAATATAAACTTGATAATACTAAATTACCCCCAAATTTTTGCGTACAAAAACAAGCAACTCAAAATACTTTAATGCTTGGAAATTTTCAGACGCAGGCTCCGGCCTATCCTCTCTTTTTACCGAATGAATTCAAAGAAAATTACACGTCTAATTATTATCTTTTTATTCTTTCCTCGTTTTCTAAATGGTTTTTATTTTCTTCAATCCGACCTCATGTTTGTTGCAGATCGATGGGCTTGACCCTGCTTTAGAATTGAGACAAAGGGCCTGGGGTGTCCTCAAAATCATGATTTGAGAGGCAAAAATCATAGTTTGGATGGGATGTCGCCTTAACAGCATTAATTTTAGAGAAATAATCCAAAAACCATGGTTTAGGCTAAAACCATTGTTTTGAAGCCCAAAACCATGATTTTAAGAGAAGTGAATTCATTCTACTTCTGGTTGAAATTAGAGAGTATGATTGTGCCTGTCAGAATAGATTTTAACATTAATATGACTTTAACATCTCTCAATTTTTTTATAAACATATTTAATCTTATATCTTATAAATATATACACATATTAATTATTTATTAACTATATTATCTTATGTATTATTAATTATGTTGGTAAAAATTATATTATTAACAATTTTATTCCTTCAAATTAAAATATATCATAAAATCTATTGTTTATGTAATTATTATATTAGCTTATGTTTTTTTTAGTAATTTGTATATATCAAAAGTATTTCTGAGAATAACTATCTAAACACTCTTATTTTTTAGAATTATTTTTACTAAATTTATTGTTCACAAAATCTATTTTTCTCAATATCCATTCTTTTAAAAGTTATTTTTTAAATTATAATTTGATTTCATCCAAACACTTTCAACTTGGAATGGGGTTCGGAAATCGTCCAATTTAGTACGAAAGATAACAACGTTACGGTCATACAGCTTTAGTGGGGGTGGGGGCTGGGGGCCTGCTTCTCATTTTTCTTTGCATTACAGCTTTGCATCCATCATAGTACCGACGATTGCCTTCCATCCAGTAACTGTCAGCTCTGCCCACCCCCTCAAATTCCCACGTGAAATGTCATGCATCAGTACTGTTTCGTTATTTATTATAAAATTCAATTTTTTAATAGATTTCTCTTTAATTCTTTTTAAATTTGTCTTTTCATTTAATACACCATTAACTATTTTACTTCTAATTTAAAATAAAACAAAGTATTTCATCACATAATTTCTAGCACAAATTAAGCTTATTTTTAATTCTCTTAAAATTATCACCTTATATGTGTGTACTATTTGCTAAAATTCATATTTCTTAGTAATTTTATATTTAAATTTATTTTTATTAATAATTTAAACAAGTTTAATCATATCAAACTGATTTTTTTTATAAAAATCAATTTAAATATTAGCTGATTTTTACCCTAATTTATATTTACAAAAATTAGATGAAATAAAAGTTAATTTTATATCATTTTTAAATATAATGCGCATTATCCGGCTCTCCCAAATTTAAAAAAAGAACCAACATTTCACACTGGAAGAGAATTATTAACCGCATGAATACTGAGATAAATTGAATTTATCAACTACGATGATCATCGAAAACAATTTTATGAACTTTTCATTTAGCCTCGGAAGTCGGAACCTTATTTCCAGTTCCCTCGCGTAACTTTGAAATTTCACCGCCGTCAAAGTAAAATTAATTCTTATCACCAAAAAAAAAAAGAAGTAAAATTAATTCTTGAAACGAAAACTCAATGCGGAAGTTAACGTTTCTGGCCTTCTGACATAGTCTATTTGTCTCCTGTAATAATGGAGATTCTCTCCCTCTATTGTCCATTTGCCAACTCTGACCTTTTTTTAAATTTTAAAATCAAATAATCCAAAGAAAATTAGACGTACAATTATTATCTTTTTTTATTTTTTTTTCTCGTTGCCTAAATGGTTTTTATTTTTTTCAATCCGATCTGTCATATTTTTTTACGGATTGAGCAATTAGAATCAGAACTAAAATTGAAATGGGGTTGGGAAAGTGTCCAATTTTGTACGAAAAATTACAATATTAACGTCATAGTAGGGTTAGGGGCTGGGGGGCCTGCTTGTCATTTTCCTTTGCATTACAGCTGTCCATCCATCGTAGCCCTGACAATTGCCTTCCGTCCAGTAATTGTTAGCTCCCCCCCCCCCCTTCAACTTCCCACGTGAAATGTCATACTTCAGTAACGCGAGTTTATTTTGTTCTTTATAAGCACAACAGGTATCCTTTGATTTGATTAGCAAATGCTTCTGCTAATGAAAATTTATACTTTGATTCCTCACATGGAGAGCAATTAATTCTTTTCATTACCTGCCATTAGTCATGTAAGTTCAGTTTTGCGATTTGAGCTTCATTTGTAACATCAAACTATTATTTTCTATCTTTAATTAAACAAAAAGTTCACCTTACATATTTCCAATCTAAATTCAGTTTCTTGGTCCCGGTTCAAAAATTGGGGCGCTCTTAATGCGAAGTGAAACTTGTTAGATTTTGATATCACTTTCATTTATTGTCATTTACCGGTTTTTCATTAATTCAGAGGCAAGGACATTATTTAAAAATATTTTCAATGAAATCATAAAGTAATATCTTTTGCTTACAAGTAATTATTTTTTAAATTAAAGAGTAAAACATATCAACCCCATTTTTATTTTCGAAAACTTATATAAACCTTTTTTAAAATCAAAATATATGTTACATAAATTCTGTCCTAGTTTTAATATTTAACCTTTGTCCTAGTTTTAATATTTAACCTTTATCCACGCAATATAGCATTGACTCATTATTTTGATTAAAATGCCCCTTTTTAACATCCAAATTACTTATAATTATTGTTTAATCATACATGACATCTCTATCGGAAATTAAAAAACGAGTTAATACATATTTTTATATTTTTTGTTACCCCATTAAATTCATTACCATATTACAAAATTTAATTAATTTCAGAAAAAATTGGACAGAAGGACCTAGAAAAAAAAATATTTATTAACAAAGATTTTAAAAATTAGATTATTTAAAAAGACTAAATATTAAAATATAAACTTGATAATACTAAATTACCCCCAAATTTTTGCGTGAAAAAACAGGCAACTCAAAATACTTTAACGCTTGGAAATTTTCAGACGCAGGCTCCGACCTGCCCTCATCTTTTACCAAATGGATTCAAAGAAAATTACACGTCTAATTATTATCTTTTTTATTCTTTCCTCGTTTTCTAAATGGTTTTTATTTTCTTCAATCCACCTGTTATATTTTTGCAGATCGATGGGCTTTACCCGGGTTTAGAATCGAAACTAAGGAGGTGTTTGGCAACTTCCAAACCATGATTTCAGAAGTACTTTTTTACAAAAAGAGACAAACTTCTTTACATATTTACTTTGTAAACTACAAAAGCACTTCTAAAATCATGGTTTAGTTTCTATTCAAACATCTCATAAAATTGAAATGGGATGCAGAAATCGTCCAATTTAGTACGAAAGATTACAATATTACGCTCATACGGCGTTAATAGGGGTAGAGGCTAGGGGGCCTGCTTCTCATTTTTCTTTGGATTACAGCTGTCCATCCATCTTAGTGCTGAGGATGGCCTTCCATCCAGTAATATGAGCAGAAGAGAAGCTAGCTTGCTTTTATCTGGAAACAGTCCTAACGGATGTTTATATCAAATCATAATTTTAAAAATATTTTTATAATTTATAAAATAAATATATGAGGAAATTTATCTTATTTTACGAAAAAGTATTTTTTTTACGTTGTCAAATACCATCTGAGTGTCGGTTCCGCTGAAAGATTTCAATTTTTGACGAAGGTCCGGGTGAAGAAGCTTCAGAGCAGAGTCTCCGTATGTGTGAAGATGTGAAAATTGCTGCCCAGCCGTTTCTTGCGTTGCGCCTTGGGCGTAAATTCGCAGTTCTCTGGTATGATGGAGGAACAGAAAAGAAACAAATAAAATAAAAAGATAAAAGGAACGAAATAAAATTAATATAAAACAAAGTATTTCACCACATGATTTCCAGCACAAGTCAAGTTTATTTTTAATTCTCTTAATTCTCTTAAAATTATCACCTCATGTGTGTGTTTTATATGCTAAAATTCACGTATTTTTAGTAATTTTATATTTGTATTTATTTTTTTTATTAATCATCTAAACAAGTTTAATCTTATCAAACTGATTTTTTTTATAAAAATTAATTTAAATATTAGCTAATTTTTACCCTAATTTACATTTACAAAAATAAGATGAAATAAAAGTCAATTATGTATCATTTTTAAATATAATGCGCATTATCCGGCTCTCCCAAATTTAAAAAAAAGAACCAACATTTCACCCTGGAAGAGAATTATTAACCGCATAAATACTGATGTAAATTGAATCTATGAATTACGATGATCCTCGAAAACAATCACTACTATGGAAAAATTATGAGAACTTTCATTTAGCCTTGGGACTTTATTTCCAGTTCCCTCATGTAACTCTGAAAATTTACTGCCTTCAAAGTAAAATTAATTCTTGAAACGAAAACTCAATGCGCCAGTTAATGTTTCGGCGTTTTATACTTCTGTTTGTCTTCGTGCAGCAATAATTGAGATTCCCTTCCTTCATTATTCATTTGTTAAGTGCCACGGTTCGCACCTGTGTCTTTTTTTTTTTTTTTAACCAAATAGATTCGAAGAAAATTACATGCTTAATTATTGTCCTCTTTATTTCTTTTCATTGTCCAAATGATTCCTACTTCGGTTCTAGAGCTGTGACTGAAATTGAAATGGGGTTCGGAAATCGTCCAATTCAGTACGAAAGATAACAACATTACGGTCGTACAGCTTTAGTAGGGGTGGGGGCGGCGGGCCTGTTTCTCATTTTTATGTGCATTACAGCTGTCCATCCATCATAGTATTGACGATTGCCTTCCGTCCAGTAATTGTCAGCTCTGCCCCGCCCCTTTCAAGTTCCCACGTGAAATGTCATCCTCTGGTAACATGTAAGTTCAATTTGTTTTCAATAAGCACAAGAAGTATCCTTTGATTTGATTAGCAAATGCGTCTTCTAATGAAAATTTATATTTTGATTCATGACATTAAGAGCAATTAATTCTTTTCATTAGCTGCCACTAGTTATGTAAGTCCAGTTTTGCGATTTGAGCTTCATTTGCAACATCAAACTATCTTTTAATTGGAAAAAAAAAAAGAGAAGAAGTTCAGCTCACATATTTCTAATCTAAATTCAGTTTCTTGGTCCAGATTCAAAATTTGGGGCGCTTTTAATGAGAAGTGAGGCTTGTTAGATTTTGTTATTACTTTACATTTATTTGTCATTTACCAGTTTTTCATTAATGAAGAGACAAGGACATTATTTTTAAAATATTTTTGTTTGAATGAAAATCATAAAGTAATTATCTTATGCTTACATGTAATTATTTATGAAATTACATAAAATAAAGATTAAAATACATCAACTCCTTTTTATTTTTAAAAACTCATATAAACCTCTTTTAAAATCAAAATATATGTTACATAAATTTCTTTCTAGTTTTAATATTTAATTTTCATCTATTCAATCATTAGTTGATCGTAATATTATAGTATTGACTCATTATTTTGATCAAAATGTCCTGTCTTTAACATGAATATCACTTATAATTATTATTTAATCATGCATGACATCTTTATCCGAAATTAAAAAACAATGTTAATATATATTTTAATATTTTTGTTATGTCATTAAATTCATCACCATAGTACAAAATTAAATTAATTTCAGGAAAAAATGGACAGAAGGACCTAAAAAAAATTTACTAAGAAGGATTTTAAAAATTATAATTATTTTTAAAAAACTAAATATTAAAATATAAATTTTAAGAATACTAAATTACCCCCAAACTTTTGCGAAAAGAAACAGGCAACTCAAAATGCCTTAGTGCTTGAAATAAATACTTTTTTTTGGCCGCAGAAATAAATACTTTAATGCTTGAAATCATACCTTCATGATTGACATCAATATTAATTTTTAGACGCAGGGCTCTGTATTTGGCTATTTGCTCCATTCCGTCAAGGGCTCCATGTGCTTTTCATCAGCCCCACCGACCCCACGTGAATCATTCACACCCGCGACTTCTACACTGAATATGAGAACTGCCACCATCGACACCGAGCATACTGGGCTGGACTCAGGGTTAGACGTGGATTATGAGCAGTTAGAGTGGGAAGGGAGGATTTTCTGGTGTGTGTAGAAATAATAAAAAAAGTGTTTGGATACCATAAAAATATTTTTTAAAAATATTTTTTTATAAATTGAGATAAATTTTTTAATATATTTATTTTGGAGTCTTTGAGCACTATAAAAATGTTTTTTAAAAAAAACTGTTTTACAAATCGAGATAAATTTTTTCATATATTTATTTGATATAGTATAAAAACACTTTTAAAATTATGATTTTAATTTTATCTAAATATCTTTTTATATACCCAAAAAAATTTTTAAAATCATAATTTTTATTCTCCAAATACTTTTTATAAGGGACCCCACCCGCGAAAGACGATTTCACCCCGAAACGGCCTTTCCTGCTGTCTTCGGAAATGGCAGCGATGAGGAGGAGGATGGTCTCACTTCTAAGTTTTTTTTTTTTTGACTGTGTTGTTGTGTGGGAGCAAAAATTTTGAGAGTTAATGTGGTCTTTTTAAATTTATATTTTGATATTCGATGCTGTTAAATAATTTTAACTTTTAAGATCCTTCCAAATAGATAAAACTTTTTTTAGGTCCTTTATGTTAATTTTCCCTTAATTTTATAAATTCAAATTTTTAATTTTGTTTATTTACTAAAACTACTGATGGGATATGTCTAGAATTTGGAACGAGGGATAATCACCAAATCTTATAATTTGTTAATTTACAAGAAAATCGACATTGGTGGCCCTCACTTAAAAATATGCCATTCTCCGTCCATCTCCTCTCCATGGCCACCAGCGCTATCTCGCTTTCGCTTCATTCTCATCTTGCTTCCAGAAATTAAAGCCGTAGCCTCACCGGCAAAGTGCTACACTATGGCTTACTTCCCTTTCTCCTCTGGCTTTATTCTCTGTTTAGCATGAAACCTGATATCTAACATTGGCGGGTAGGAAGAAACAACAGTGCTTACTTCTCAACTCTTCTGTCCCTTCAAAAATCCTGCTTCCAGGTAACCATGCCTTCTCTAAGATCCTACCTAATTAATTGTCCTTCGTCTTCTCTTTGAATCGCTTATCTTTCTAAGTAAATTTAACAGTTTTCTAGGTAAATCAGATCGGTGCGTGTGTGAATAAGTTCTGGACCATCAAGTTTTTGTTTTTTTTTGGTCGTCTTCAACGAAGGGAAAAAAAATACGGCTTTCGTGTTTTTATATATGTTGAGTATTTGATATTTGATGATGGTTCTGGGCTTTTCTCAGGTGAAAGTTTTCAGGATTAGTTTTTAGTTTTAGATGCTGCTTCTTGTCGATACAATTTAATTTGCTTGAGTATGAGTCCAGGTTTGATTACCTGTAATAATTTTGGACTTACTCTCCTCCAATTTAGCTGAGAAGTTTATTTTGATTTGAACATAAATGTAAAATTTTAATTTTCCCAAATTTATATTTTTTGAATTATTCCTATTAACAGTGCATATTAATAGTGCATGAGTTTTCGTATTTTTGTATGTAATTATATCTCGAGTATTTGATTGATGATTTCGAGCGTTTCCCAGGTGAAAGTTTTCAGGATCAATCAATTTTAGTTTTAGGTGCTGTTTCTTCATCACTCCATCCATTTATGGATACGATTTAATTTGTTTGCTTATGAGTCTGAACTAAATAATTAACGCTTATTTAACCAAAGCATCACTTAAATTATGTTTCAGTTGTTTTTTGATTTTTTTCCCCCTCTTTGATGGACCAATTCTTTTGTGTTTTTTTATGCATGATGAGGTTATTTTAAGGCATGTATTATACCACTTTGGTGCGTATTAGTTATCAGTGAATTTTGGTTTTTTTATTTGTTATTTGTACCATTTTTAATATTATATTTTTAATTCTGTCTCTATTAATTACTAGTCCGTCTATAATAGGGGTGTTTGGCAATATGAAAACCATGGTTTCAGAAGTACTTTTCCGCAAAACGAGGCAAACTCCTCCATATATTTATTTCGTAAATCGTAAAAACACTTCTGAAACCATGGTTTGGCTTCTATCCAAACACCCCAAATTATAAAAACCTTTTGGCCAAATTGTGCTTTTTAAGAAAACAGTTAAAATTAGTTAAAAGCAATTAATATGTAATGAGATAAATACAAAGAGAATGTATAGAGGGAGAATTATATGAGAACTTATTAGGATTAAAATAGGTAACATGTATCAAATGTTCAGACAAACTTAAAAAGGATCTTATAAAAAGGATAGATCCATTCAAAAAAAGAGATCTTATAATTAGGGACGGAAGAAATATAGTGAAAGTAAAGAGAAAGGTAACATGTGAGAAAAAATATACTAGTATTATATTACCTTTTTTCCAATATCCATATTTTTTTTTAATGAGGGCAAAAGTGAAAGATTTTATCAATTTAATATTTTTTTTGAACTATATTTTGCAGTCATATGAAATACTACTATTCATGCATGAGCCCTATTGAATGCTTTTCCATCAGTTTGACAATTTGTTTGAGCATCAAAGAAATATTCGGACAGAATTCTCAAACATATGAAAGAACATGAAGGCTTTATTATTTTTCAAAATAGAATGAAATTTTGTAGAATGATCGGATTTATATTGAGTTCAAACAAACATTAAAGCATGGAATTAATGGTTAGATTTAGACATCTCATTTCACAGCTCATATGAACTAGTTATATCCCTTTCAAAAATGGGCTTGTCATCAGATAACGAAACTTGCGGGAACACGCACACGGAGTGGGGGCAAAAAAAGAGACAAAGATAAACCTACTTAGGGGGGAGGGATCATTTAATAATGAAAAACTCCACGGATCAAATAAGTTACTACTCCCTCTGTTCCTTATTATAAGAGACGAATAACTGAATTACGTTGATCAAAAAAGCAGTTAAAATTAGTTAAGAACAATCAATGTGTAAAAAGTATAATTTCTTTTCCAAAAATACCCTCATTAATAAGGAGAGAGAACATGAGAGAAAATAATAGTAAATTATTAAAAAAAAGAGAAGTGGGAAGGAGAGAGAGTGTGAGTTGGAGACAATAAATATGGGTAAAATAGGAAATCAACACAAAAAAGTAGAGACAACTTTCAAGTGTCTCTTATATATAGGAACATGCCATAAGCATCAAATGTCTCTTATAATAAGGAACGGAGGGAATACTAATAAATGGTCACGAGGACATTATGAATTATGACATTGTGTGAGTTGTATGTTCCAACTAACCCAACAATTAGGCTAGTACTATTATTTTATTACTCTTTCCGTTCTTTATTATAAGAGACATTTGATACTTATAGCATGTTTCCATATATAAGAGACACTTAAAAGTTGTCTCTAGTTTTTTGTATTGACTTTCTATTTTACCTTTATTTATTTTGTCTCTTATTCATACTCTTTCTCCCTCCCACTTCTCTTTTTTTTAATAATTTAATTGTTCTCTCTCATACTCTCTCTCTCCTTATTAATAGGAGTATTGTTGGAAAAAACATTATACTTTTTACACATTAATTGTCCTCAACTAATTTTAACTGTTTTTTTTATCAACGTAATTTGATTATTTGTCTTTTATAATAAAAAACGGAGGGAGTATATTTTAAGGTCAAAATATATCAAATGTCAATGTTGGTTATTCCACTGCGGATGGATTTTGCAGGAAAATATATTGTCTGGTTTTTGAAGTTCCTCCTCCAAGATGTCGTCAAACGGAGATGATTCCGGAGCGCCGGTTGGAAAATCGAAGGTTAGAAATGGTAATTTTGATCATTCCTCTCATCATTTTCTGCATCCAAACATTTAAGTGCCTATAGTTTCTTCTGCTAACATCAAAGCCTGTTGGTTCTCTATAATTGAAATATTCATTCCGTCCACCAAACTCTTACTCCTCTGGTTTTATTTACGTGATATTTTATACAAACTAAAAAAAAAAATCTTAAATTGTATTAACTCTCTTTAAGAATATAGTGGCTTTTTTAATTTTATCTTTATTTAATATATATGTTTTTTCAAAAAAAGAATAACTGTACTATAATAAATGAAAAACAAAATAAAACATTCATGCTAAAAACTTAATAATGTGCCTTATTGCCTTATAAATAAGCTAAGAAAAATATTTTCTCTGTCTTATTAATAAGACTAGAGGAGTAATTAGTTGATACACCTATTTAAAATAAATACTATAGTTTAAGACATAGGATTAAGGTGCGTGCAGTATCTTGTAACTCAATCTCTTAAGTATGACTCACCTTTGACTCAATCCCTGAAATGTTTTTTCAGTTGTCCATGCAAATTTTAAAAAAAAGTTGTCAATGCAAACTTAAAAAAAAAAGACAATTTGGTAATTAAATAAATAAAATTTTTTGTGATGAGGTTTTTTAAGACTCCAGAATAATTTGATGATTTTAAGATTTTTTTTTTGTATTTAATTTCTTTAGATGGGATCTTACTGCAATTTTTTTTTAAAACAATGCCAGTCAACTCAGCATCAAACTGGATTGGCGGGAAAGATGGGCCCATAGCAACTTGGGTTCCTCGACAATGAGCCCGCCCCCTCAACGGTGGCCGAAGAAGGTGCTGCACATTAGCAAGGACATTTTTTTAACAAGCATCATTTTAGATACAAGAATAAATATTTCCTGTCGAAACCACGTCTAAATAAATACTTTCTTCAAACATAATTTTTTTATATTAAAATTTATTTTTTATTCCATTATAAGAAAAGAATAAAATATATAACGGGACAAACAAGAAGTCAAGACCATAGAAATAAATAATGGGAAAAAATATTTTTTAAGAAATTCATAAAATATGTTTTAAAATAAATAATAAGTCTGGACGAAACAAGGGAGATGCATGCTGACTGCTGAGCATACGTTAGTCAGCTATTATTTCTTCTTGTGCCAGGGATGCAAATGGTGCTGCAGATCATCTGGTAATTAAAGGAAGCTCTTGGAGCACCGTTGGGTTTTGCCAGAGTTTCTTCGCAGCCTGCTTTTCTTACGTGTGAGTTAGAATTAGATAGGGATCACGTGGTCACATCAAGGTGATCAGGTATTAGTTTTTTTCCGCCTTTTTTTCGCTTTTGCACTTTCTATTTGTTGATTTTGTTTAAAAAAAAATCAATAAGTCAGTGACTCAGTATAAAATGTAGTGAAAACCACGATTTAAGTTATTAACAGCTTAACTTGTTAAGAGACTTTTTGTCAACTAGGGGCCCTCAGTCCAGTTGCATTGTAAGAATTATACATCTTTTTTTTTTTTTTAAAAAAAAAACAAAATTGTTCAAAGCAGGTGGAAAAAGGAGGACTCATCAAGTCAACGCTAAAACAGTCATTTTTATTCTTCTCGTCTTGGATGTTGTTGTAGAGGATTTTAATAACTGTACATCAAAACTTACCGAGTAATTAAATTAAAAACGTCAGGAGATCAGATAGAGAATGTATTTTTATGATAGTTTATATTGTTATATGGGACTCGAGAGTAATTTCTAAGAAGAAACAAATCTTTATGTAGGTTTTTATTTTGGATGGATGCAGGCAAAGATAATGTTTGAATTTTGAAGTTCCTTCCCCAAGATGTCGTCAAACAGGGACACAAACAAAGGGAAAAAACATGTAGAAGGCCATGCACTCGCTGAATTGGAGGGACAGGCGGGTTATGGCGCGACATATGGAGAGGTAAGTTTGATGATGTGTTTCCTAAGATTTTGTCTAAGTGAGGTAAGTTCGTATGGCAGACTGACAATGTATTTCCCTTGTTTGTGGCGTCTGATCTGTCCTTCTAGGGTTTATTTATGCTCTTCTGGTCCTTAATATAAGACCGATTTAACTAATTTGATTATATTAAAAAAATTAAGTAAGTTAGTTAATTATAAAAAATATGATATGTTTTTCGTAAAACACCATAATTATCTTTCTTAATATCCTTCCTTAATTACTTACTTGATTATGGTTGAGGGAATATTCATAGGAGTAATTTAGGAAAAAATAATAAATATGATAAACAGGTCTTATATTTAGGACCAAAGTTAACTTGACAATTGGATCTTATATTAAGAACCGGAGGAGCATATTAAACACACACATAAGTAATAGGCGTTAATCTAATTGGTTGTGCCTGTCTGCATAACTATGATAATTGTAATTAATTTTGGCATGTGAAGGTGTGCCTGGTAACTATAAGAGTCCAAATCATGATTTCCTTGAAAATATCCAATCATCTTTAACTTACTGAACACCCCTAACTTAATAAATAAAATGTATGTATTCTTAATAAGTATTTTCCCTAGATTAACGAAGTGCTCTAAGTAATTCGATACTTTTCTCTTTTTTTGATCTTTGAAAATTTGCTCTCGCATTGTGTGGTGGGATTCCAAATTTATTATATGATCATATGGGCAGGAAGTGGCTAAATATTATATTCTTTGTTTGTAGTTTGTTGCTATTTGTCCATTAATCTTAAAATATCTGCATCTTCTGAATGAATTACATGCTTTGAGGCGTCATATGTCTTCTTGTTGGCATTAATCTAGTAAGTTATTTTTATTCATTTTAACTGCCCAGCATTGATCATTTGGCTGCCATTGACTCTAGTCGGACTACCCGATAGTAATTTAATATGTGTTTGTGTTTTCTTGAACAATATGAATGTAAACCCGTGAGATTCGTTGGCGCAAAAAAAAAAAAAAAAAGACACCGTGAGATTCAGTAGTGCAACCCTGCGTGGTTCTTATGCATATTTTTTAAATGCCCTCCCGCTTTGATAAGTTGTTTTAATTAATTTCATAACTCCTCCCCATTTTTCTCCTTAAAAAAAATGATTGACACAAATTTTTGTCACTCTGCGGTGTCCTATAAGTCGTCTTATCAAATTTGCAAATCAAAACATGACATGTACAGTTTAGTCGGTGATTTCTTTCTATAGATCCCTCAGTTTTTTTTTATCTTTGTTTTTATGATTATTTACAATTTCTCCTTTTGAAAAACAGAAAGAAAGAAAGAGTCAAATTGTGAAATTCTCAACTGATGCCTACGTATTTTCACAAGCCTCTGGGTTGAAAGCTATGAGAAAGTGACAACTGAAATATTGAATTTCAGAACCTTATGGTTAATACGTTGTGAGTAGCGCTTGCAAAGCTAAAATAAATTGATAAATAGATAATATGTGAGTAATTGTGCATATTAGATTCGGCGGCTGTCATATGATTGGATTAGACAGAGTTCATTTAGAAAAGAGATTCAGGCTGGTAGGAGTAACGTCTCTTGTTGCTGTTGATATCTTGTATCTTCTACCAATGACTGGATTTTTTTAAATATAATAATAGGCGTCAATATCAAACTCTTAGTTAAAATATTTTTGTTGTTAGTGTTGTTGATCATATCTTCCTTATGAATATTTTCTTTTCTTTTCTCTTCCTTTTTAACGGCAGCCGTGGAAACATGTGCTGCGGGGGCAAGTTGTGCTAGCGAGGATGAGGATACGGAACTTTTTACACCTCATCATGAGCTACCCCATGAGAATCGGGTATGAACACAAACTGGATGGTTGGATCTATGGTGATTTGACGGGACCATCTATTATTTTCTTTGGCAGCCCACTGACATATGTAAAAGCCCTTATACCATGGAAGATAACAGAAGAGAGGATGGGGATGGATGGTGGCAGCGTCAGCATGGAGACATCTCTCAAACACGTGCCCCAACCTATTCTCCTCTTAGCTACTCGTCTTGCCATGAACCAACTCACTCAAACAATAACTTCACATAAGTGGTTGTTCCTTGAGAAGATTAAAAACATACTGTTTTTGACCAGAGATGATGCAGAAAAACGAACGGTTGTGGCAAACATACAAGCAAATTCTCGAATTCGTGAAACATTTGGTGATCTCCAAATCATTGATCTTAATCAGATTGATGATGAGACCAAAAGAGAAGAAACAAGGCTGCGGCAAACTCCTAGTGTAGAGTCACCGACAGAGAATTATAGAAGAAGAGGACAGTTAGTGCTCGTGGTGGATGGGGATGTTGATAAAAAACTAGACCCCCAGAAGGTGAATTTACCAAATAAAATAGGTTCTAGAGATGTCGTGGTGTTTATAACAACATTATCATCAGGACAGCAAAACGATGAATTCAGCGTGAAAATGGATTTGACGATCAAGACAGAGGACCATTTGTTGCCTTGGGAGGTCTTCTGCAAGAATGTTGGTAGTGAGCTTCTAAATTCATCTACTGACATCCAAAGCATTGCAGTGAAAATGGTGGAGAAATGTGGTGGCCATCTTCTTGCCATCATTCTCATGGCAAAGTCACTGAAAGATGTGAAAGATGTTCAAACCTGGGAACTTGCATTGGATAAGCTGGGTTATGGTGATCGCGAACCAATAGTGAATGCATTCTTCAACATCATCTGGCCAAATGTAATTTCTGAAACAAAAAAGGTTCGTCTTATAAGGTGTTTAATGGTCCTCAAATCCTCAGATTGGAAGATGACTCATGATGAATTGTTTTCTTACTGGTTTGCTGAAAAATTAGTGGACACGAAAGAAGAAGCAAAACTCACCTTGCAATATTTCATGGAATGTTCTGTCTTCTTGCAATTTGAAGACACCCAAGGTTGGCATATCCTATTGCCCAAGGATATTAAGTTTATCTTACATACAATCAGGTTGGAAATTCCTGAGATCTTGAGTAAAGAAGCATCAGTATCAACAATTTCAAACCTCCAAGCTCTAAACTTATCCAACACTCACATGCAAAATTTATATGAGGTAAATACCCGGCCTGAACTTGAAGAATTGAATTTGGAAGGCTGTACGCTAGAAACGTTGCCAGAAGCAATGTTTGATGATCTCGAAAAGCTTGAATCTTTGTCTTTGGAAAACTGTTCGCAACTGCAGAAGCTGCCACCACGGATTGCTAGGCTTGAGAATATTAAAACATTGAGGTTGGCAGGGTGTAAGCGATTGAAGACGCTGCCACAAGAACTCTGGAAACTCCAGAATTTTGATCAAATGCCTACGCCTAGCATCCTTTCTGCTCAAATGCCTTTGCTTAACATTCTCGACTTGTCACGCACCAGCATACGTGAACTCCCAAACTCAATTTGCAATCTAAAGAAGCTTAGAGAATTTTATCTAAAAGATTGTGAGCTTTTTGTGGAACTGTCACCACACATTGGCGGACTTGATAATCTCATGATACTTGATCTTGATGGCACTTTGATCACACATTTGCCAGAGGAGGTAAAATATTTGAGCAAGTTGGAAAGCTTATCTCTCTCTTTTTATAATGATGATGCCAGCTGTGCATTGATTCCTCTTGGTTTTCTATCCCAACTCAATCAGCTGAGAGTTTTAAGGATTGCTGTTAACCCAGATAATGAATGGTGGCTCGGAAACATTGAACGCATTCTTGCAGATATCAATCGATTAGAGATGTTGCAATCATTGGATATATATATCCCCAAAGTTGAATTCTTGAATCTGAAAGAAAGGTGTCCGTCTAATTTTAGATTCATTATCGGCTATCACAAGCCAAGAATGATATTACGTGTACCGCCTATTATTGAGAAGGTGTTTAAAGAAAGTAATCCTAGCTTAAAGTTTGTAAATGGTCAGGTTTTTCCGGATAAAGTGAAGTCCATTCTCTCCAAAGCCTGGGCTTTTTTCTTGGACCGCCACGTGACCATCAACAGTCTTACTCAATTTGGGTTGGAGAATCTAATGCAGCTACAATTATGCATTTTGGCAGAATGTAATGAAATGCAGAGCATTATAGATGTGGATGGATATGGAGCAGACTCAGACCTAAATGAATCCTTTTGCATGCAGTTCTTGACCATATTCTACATGAAAAATCTGAGAAGTATCATTAAAAATCCAAATCATGGTGGCAATTCCATTTTCTGTCAACTAAAGTTTTTAGCATTGCACACTTGTCCTGAGTTAGCCACCATATTTACCATGGATTCCCTACAGAGTCTTGGCAACTTAGAAGAGCTTATAGTTAAAGACTGTCCCAAAGTAAATAGCATCATAAGTTGTATATCCCCTTCTAAACCATCAACAGGCGTTTTCCTCCCAAAATTGAGAAAGTTATCACTTCTCTTTGTGCCTGAACTGACCAGCATTTCAAATGGAGTGTGTATTGGGAGAAATTTAGAGGAGATAGGACTTTATCACTGTCCAAAACTCCAGAGTTCTTCCATTGTAGAGTTGTCAAGCGAAAGGCTAAAGATGATAAGAGGAGAAACAAAATGGTGGATAGCACTTAATGCGAGTATGGCAGAGGGGGGACAAGTTGCACCAAAGAAATTCAGCCACATATTTTCTCCAATTGACAACTTCACTCAATTGACTACCTATGAGCGTATGACATCTTTCAATAAAGAAAATGATTCAGGTGACGTTTTACTCCTTTTCTTTGACATTAAAATTTATTTTTATTGACTACAAGATTCCTGAGCTCATGCTTATGCATGATAGGAATATATTTTTATCTGGTGTAGAATATATATTGGCCATAAAAATATATATGGTTTTAAATACGTCACATCATTTTAAAAATAAATTAGTATGTTTTGATAAACTTCTGAATACATTTTAAGAGCCGGCATTGTCATTTATTTTCATCTTAAAAATTGACATGACATATATATTGAATCACATTTTACTAATATCATTCTTTTAAATTCATTACTTCAAAAAAACAAAACTCACAAGACCAATTTCTGTCTTAAACAATATAATAGACCGTAACTTACAATAAAAGGGTTAGTTCCTCATAATGTGATAGATTAAGATTCAAATTCTTGCTAAAAGATGTACTTATGTTTAGTGCCTGATAATGTCTTGAATAGAATTGTTTCTGATAAGAGGATACCTGTACTTGGCGAAAAAAATTGGCTTTCTTGCAAGCATCACATCGAGAAAGTGTATAATGCAACCCACTATCTAAATCCTGCGTTTGGAGGAAGTTAGAACAATTTTGCAGAAAAGATGTTGGGAGTTATATATAAAACAAATATTCATACCTGTGTTGATGTTGTCAAAGTTCAATATATAGCTTAAAAGGTCTATACATTTAAGTGAGAACGTTATTGTGATGCCACATCTAAGAAATTCTTTGTATTATTCTTTTTCCCCAGAAATACTTGGTTGGGATTCGGAATAGAAGGCTTGATTCTTACCTGCGCCTGGGATTCAACAGAAGATGTTACTTCACTTCCTCAGTTTCTCCATAAAACTACTGTATTGTTGTTTGGTGTGCTTTGAACTGTTTCCTTTGGTCTTTGTGTTTGAGAGTTGATTTATTGTTCCAGTTTTAAAAGCTTGACCATTGTACTTTCTTTCTAAATGGGAATGGATATGTCAGTGTGTGATGGGATTGTCCTTTGTATTTTTCTACTTTAACAGACAGAAATCCTTGTTTGTACTTATGTGAGTTTATTCTATATTGTGCCTCTCGTTGATTGTTTTTTCCAGCAATATTCTTAATTCTTTCATATATAGAATTTCCTCAACATCAGAAGGTAATAAATGCAGCAGATGATTAGATGGGCATATTGGCTTTATATCATGGATTTTGTATACATGTGAGAACACTTGAACCGGCCCAAATGGTAGTCCTTGTTGGCGGTAGCACCAAAATTCTCCAAGATCCAGTAGATCTTCCACCTCCTCTATAATGCTAGGCAAACCCTGTTGACAGCAGCACCTGCAGAGAACGGTAAATCCGAGTCGTGTTTTACAGACACTGTCCTTAAGAGCTATTCCGCAACTACTGGCAAAGCAAGAAGCGGCACTCCCTAGGATTAAACGGATTCTTCCTGTAAGAACAGGGTGAGCAGAACAGCGAAAGGTAAAAGAACTCAGTAAGGCAGAACACCAGAGGAGGGAAGAGAGTTGCCCGAAAGCTCAAAGCTCAGTCGTTGTGAACTTCGGTTTCATGCCCCATTTATAGGCCGCGGATCACAAGAGAGCATTGGGCACTTAAACACAATTAAGTTTCAGTTTCAATATCATTAACTCACTTAATGAGGATTTAGACTTATTAAAGACGTCAGTTACAAATATTGAAGAGGTATAATGGTGATTAAGGAGGTATTAATTAGACAGATATTTTTCATAAAAGGTGCCCAATACCGCGTTTGACTCATGCACAGGGGGTGAGGGGAAATTGCCGGATTTGTCTCCGGTGGCCCATTGTGCATACGAGTCCACTCCTCCTCTTGGCCCATTTAGCAGCCCAAGACCTCTTATTACTTGGACCCCCACAATCCCAAGCAATGTGGGACTCTTCCTTTGACACACCCATACATAATATTTACAACAATCCCCCACATGTGTCAAAGGAAGTACCTTTAGTTGAGTTACACACATGAGTATAACCATTGTATCTGGTGGTCCTTTGGACTTAAAACCCGACCTAGACCAATAACACTTAGTACACAAAGATGTTGGTGGTCCTATGAACTTAAAACCAACACCTCTTAGGCGTATACTAGAGGCATTATTAGTCAGATTATACCCCCACATTTTCACTGTTAACGGCGTTTTTGCGCGTTAAGACGGCCATGCGCGTGCCTGGTGCATAACGAATGCTTTAGAGATTTTGCCACGATCTCATAGGAGCGGCCCCACTCCACATTCGTAGAGGTGATTTCATTAAGTGTACCTGCAATGAGCGCACTGTCCCGTAGGACTACGAAATCATTAAGAGCTTCCGCTCAGCCTCACCAAAATGCATTCTAGCACTTTTTCATGCCATAGGAAGGGACCAGTATTTTGTTTCAGTGCTAGCAGAACTGACAAACGACTTGTTCTTACCCATTGAACCTTCTTCATAGGATCACCAATCACAAAGGTTGGGTTGCCATCGTTGTCAATTTCAAGTGGCATTAGTCCCGTTCCCCTCGACTGATTTGTTTCTTTTTAGGGTTATTAACGGATCCGCTAGGTCCACTTTGACCTCATAAAATTGATTGAGATAACTCTGCAATTTTTAAGCATGCTTATTCATATTGTATCTCAAGTGATTTCCAATTGCACCATTGTTCTCTCTACAATGGTTATTGCTATTTAGCAATCACAACTCATCGACAAGTGTCGGTTTTACACCAAAACATCTGCTAAGAAATTTTCAACATCTTAGCCTCTAATCACCGCTAAAGGTGAATGATCACTAGTGAATTTCTCTCATATAAACTGAAATTCAGTTTAACATCCGTGTATCTCTATATCACGGGAATCCACTGTACATGACACCAAAATTTATGGTATCCCTCAAGTATTTCATTTCCCTCATAGGACTTCATAATTAGATATATGCTTAACCTTACAACAAAGATTATATCACAGCGATTAATTATTTAATGCAAACAAATTCTCAAGAATTTGTGCATACACAGGTTGAGCTGCACAACTACCTTAAACAAAATATTAGCATCACAAGGAATATTCACATATTGGTTCTCAAAAACCAAGCTTTAGAAACATTTCTCTCAAAATCTCATTCCTTTATGATTTTAACACTTAATCCACATTCAATATTCACAATAGTTGTGCATACTCATACATATTTATATCAAGATAAGTTATTTATCCTCAAATAATGATATTATGAAAATTAAAACACATTTATCTCTACACTAGATAAATGAGTAAATTTTCATACCCACATAATGTTTGTTTTAAGCAACACAGAAAAATTTGATAATTCACAAAATTTTGCTCTCAATAGCAAATAACAAAACCTCCACTTTTTTTTTTTATTTTAAAAATCACAACACACATATTGAGATTTGCAAAATGAGACTAACATAAATTAAAAAATATTTTTCTCCAGCAATATTATTTCTGTAAGGTACCCCACATTTTAGGCACCCCCACACTTTCAAATATTTCATTTTTATGGGAAAATCATTTCATACCTTATCAATAATAATTCTACTTAAATTAGAAATTTTCTCACAATATTTTATTACTGCACACATATAGCAAACCATATATCTAAATACTAAATTATTTGAAAACTCCAAATGCCAACGCCAATACAAGTGTTTTTTTTTTCTCCCCGACATAAAAGCAGCATCACACATTATAGGTATATAGTTACTCTAAATGATCAGTTATAGTACTTTGAAGAAATTACTGTTGGCATACTAAAAGTGATCATTTAAATCACCCCAATGAAATAATAATCGGAGGTTATCAATTATTGAGACCAGATTAATCATATATATTGAACAACCCAACGAAGCTTTCAATGTGGAGGAATAAAACCCACCAACGTTAACCATTTTTAGAACACATGAAACCCAATGATGCACGTGGAATCAATGCAAAGAGAACTAACGTATGAAACCAACAGCATATTTGCTGAAATAAACTAGAAGGTTACCAATCATTAAACCAAATTAATATACTCATTAAACGATAAGTCCTCCAACGGATAGGAAGTAAATTATTTTACTGACACAAGTAAAGTAATAACACCTATTGAAACCAATTTATATACTCATCAATTAAATGCAATAAAACCTTTAAGACTGCAAGTCTCCAACGGATGCAAGAGGTTAAATTCACCAACAGTAACATTCACCCAATAACTCAACGTTAAATTTCATCCTTGATATTCGTAAAACTTGAATGCTTATTACGTAACCACTCCAAAAATTATTTACTTTAAAATACGAAATAAAGATTCCATTAACATCTTCATAACAGAAATATATAAAACATTCACACAAAAAGTAACTCTTCCGACTGACATATACTAGTCAGATTTCCAGATCACATGCAAATTTTAATTTGCATATTGACAAAGCCTCAAGCTTTAATTTGAATGTCAAATAAGCAATTTCACACAACTGACATGTAAATGACTTTAAACACAGTGAATTCTCGTTAATTCACGTGCTAGATATCAACGCCAATGCTAATTTTCACAAGCAATATAATTCTTTTGATTAATAAACACATCAATATTTGTACTCTCAATTTGCAATAATTTCTTTTCAACCTTGATTAACACTTTGCTAG